TTGCTGAGCTTGCAAGGTTTGATCCGTTCAACTCCGTTCAACTTTGATTTCTGGATGATGACCATTAGCACACCTTCAAGTGTTGTGCAGAAGGCCAGGCTGCGAGGTGAGGAAAGTTCCAACTAAAACCCTAAGATACCAATTTCCTTTGTTTGTTTTTTGTTATTTTGTTTTGTGGGCATGCATTCTTAATCCTTTTCCCTGGGGTCTCTCCATTCAGTGCACCGCATATTACCAGCACTGGATGTTAAACGCTTAAATACATATACCCAGAGTTTTGGTGGCATGAACATTGGAGAACAAACAGACCAATTGCAGTTTGGTCACTAGAATTGAATAGTTGTTGCCGCTGTTGCATCCCATGGGTGGGGTACCTGGTCTGGGGCATTGGCAAGGGCCTGCCAATTTTGGCGAACTTAACACCTAGTGGGCAGGGGAGCAGCCAGAGGTACCACTGACTTGACAAGGGAGATTCTCAGGCTGTGGAGGAAAACTCTTTTATAGGTGGATGAACCCCAAAACTCTTCTTGACAGTTGGGCACGGACATGGGGGGCTAATCTGCATGTCCCCATGTTGACAAATATTTCGCACCCACTGACCATGCGGGTCGTTCCTTCTTGTGGTTTCGGATGGCCGAGGCTCAACGCCCACAGCCCCTCTCCGGCCCACACCTTCCGCCGCTGGGTTTGAGCCGAGGGGGCAAGTGAAGTGGGCGAAGACGAAGCCAAGAAGCAACACCTGATATATAATAGATGGAAAGGTGAAGAGAATCTATATTCAGCATCTAAGAACCAGCTGTCCTTTAATGTGTTGAGCTTAAGATAGCTCAAGTGATGAGCAAAAAAGAAGGTCTTGATGGTGATTGGTGAAGTCATGGCAGTCGCTCATGTTTCAGAAATTTACTGTATATAAATAATCAAGACCAGGGCTACAAAGCTGAAGCATCTGGATTCTGGATGTTTTCAAAAGTGTCTTCAAAAGTGTTTGACGCTTGACCACTATGAGCTTTGAGAGCTTTCCTCTCCTCCCAGACTTCATGGGCATCCTTCATCCACCTCAAGCATCACACGTTTTTAGAGGCATCCAATCTACCCATGCTGCAGATCTTATCGCAGTTACCTCGTGCAACTTCCAATCCTCTGAGTTGGTGCCTTGTGGTTGGTGGGTATCCGAGGTGGGTATCCGTGTGAGTTGTTTCTCGGGTGAGTTGGTGTGACCCAGAGGAGCCCCTCAAACTAAGACACTCCCTTGAAAGACTCATGGAAGTGGAGTGAACACCACCACCTGTCTGGTCTTCGGAAGACTCGGGGTCCTCCGAGTCTGCCGGAGCCAATGCCATCCAGGCCCACGATTTTCCAGGGTGAGAGTGTTCCAATTCCTTTGGTACGTCCACACAAAAGGCCGATGTCCATTTCTATTCGGCGGATGTTCCGGACGTCGTCCCGCCGCGTCGTTCGCAGCTGCTCGGGCGAGGCCCGAGATGGAAGCCACGCAGCAGCCACTTGGACCGCGCTCGGCGGTGACGAGCTGCGACGGGCTCCGGCGGTGAGGAGCTGCGATGCCGTTGATGTCGGGCAAAAACATGTGTCTTCCGGTTCTGCGTATTTTTTCTTTCGCGGTGGGGCGAAAGGGTGTGTATGTCTGAACTGCTTCACTGCTTTCCTCACCCCTGAAAGAGGGTACGGTTCCCTGCTGCATTTGGAATTCAACCTGCCGAAGCTGGGAATCAACATCACAAGCCTCCCAAAAGCGCACACTGGACCAGACTGGATCTTTGTACACTTACAGTATACCGATTCCGATGTATACCCTCAAATCATATCCCGCCCTGGCGGCCCGCCCTGGCCCCGCCCTGGCCGCCCTGGCTTAAGCATCCTTTTTTTAATGGTCCTTTACCGAACAACCATGGCCTTTACCAAGCACTTGAACACTCAAAGACCGTGTCACCTTCTTCACCCCGATCCTTTGCTGAAATCCGGACGGAAGACATCGACCCATGAAACCAGGACTCGGTCGACCCTGGCATTTCAGCACACTTGCAGTAATGAATATTCGTTTTGGAGGACTGAGTACTTGTGGCCACCGAGATCTATAGAATAAGTCATCGAAGCCTTCCGTTCTTTCCCACTGGGCTGACCGGGCTGGCGTCGCTGCTCCAGAGGCTCGTGGCCTTGCCTCCCACGGGGCGTTACATCGTCTCCTGATGCCAATGTGAAGCTGGATGAAAAAGGAAGACTTGGGCGAGAGTGCTGAAGGACTTGGGCCAGAGTGCTGAAGGAAGATAGATCATGTGTACTTCTAGAATACGCCAGACCGGACACGTCTGGATGTGATTTATTTGCAAACATATCAGGGACGCAGTCGACGCCTGCTCCCGCCTTTCGTGGACGGTTTTATGGGCGGGATCGACCTGGCCAGAAAGCAGGGCACAGACACGACCTGTCTGGGACTGACATATGATGACACATGCCCTAGAAGTCGAACCACCGTCTATTTGATATCCTTTACCGAACATCCATCGCTTTACTAAGGATGTTACATGATTTCCACCTAGAAAACCACATCAGCCACTTTAAACATGGTCTTGAACTTCTAGGGTATGTGTATCTTAATAAGGGAACCCCGGGGGTCGACGGAGGTCTCCCTATTTCGATACACACAGACATTTTCGTCTGACATGACGTGAAGGCGCCATGGAGTCACCGATCTGGGGAAGTGCTGGATAGACCTGGGATAGACCTGGGATAGACACTCCATTTACGACTAGTAAGGCACTTGTTGCTACTAGCGTGGCACCTGTTACTACTAGCCACTCCATAGGACGGTTGTTCATACAGTATACCGGTTGTACCGTTGCTGCTGTCAGGTTATACCGTTGCTTTGATAAGCGTTGGTGCTTGAACCGAGGTTTCACCTTGTGAGAGCAGAGGTTTCTCTTGTGTTCAGTTCCGACATGAGCTTGGACGGGTGACACTTTACTTTTCTGTTGACTTGGTTGACTCTTGTGGCTACATGATAGGAATAAGATTTGAATCAGCATTTCTATTGCTTGGCCAATGCATTTCAAAATTCTCAATGACACTTGAGTTGAGCAATTACTCACATAGCTCTTCAAGCCTCGCACAGCTCTTGGAGTACTCTTCCTGATTCGTGGCTCTGAATTTCTGGTGGCTCAGCTTTTACCATGGCCGTTCAGCAGCCGTTCAGTTCGTTCGTTCGCTGTCAGAAGAGACATTGGTTGCTGACAGCAACCAAGCTTGTTGGGCACATAGGCATGCACCGGAAGATAGGGGGACAAGAGCAGCCCATCGACGAAAAACTGCCTAGGCAACGTGAAGCATGGAGAGTTCACTCTAGAGGTAAACTGTCCTCCTACCAGAGGGTGGTCATCTCCGTCCATTGCCGTGCTTTTCTCGAAGATGCAATCCTTCTACCCACCGCGCCCTGGAGAAAGCAGCGAGCCACGTCCAGTTCCCCGAGGCCCGTGGGAACGGGTGGACATGGGAAGACCAACGTTTGGTCGAACACGTCCCTTGCTGAAAAAGCCATGCCATGCCATCTATCGACAACATGAAGTGTCCGCATAATTTGTAAGATAGGTCTATATATAGCGTGTACTTTCGTTGCAAAAAGCATGATGAAGTAGAAGTGACAGCTTGTTTGCCATTAGGACAGGTGTCTTTTTCGCCCGGCGAACCGGTCGCCTGGCCCCCTTCGACTCCGCAAGCGACCGAGGCCCCGAGAACTCCGAGGCCGTCTGGCGAGCGGCCGGGCGGCCCGGCGATGCCCGACCGGTGTGGTGAGCAACGGAGTGACGGAGTGACGAGGTCCGGTGGAAGATCGACCGGTCGGAAGATCGACCGGCCTCAAAGTTCAGAGTCGAGCACGACTCAGTTTGTAGACTCTTGATGATATGTCAACCCCCCCAGGCCTGAAGAGGTGTTATAATCCATGTATGGGCGGAGGGTTTATGAATCGAGCATTAGATGGGCCAAAGTATTGGATGCACCTTTCCTTTGGAGGATCTTCCAAATGTAGCTACAGTACAGCTACAAACAGAACTACACCTCGGGTTCTGGCAAACCCAGGGTTTGGTGGCACAGTCAGGGCCGTTCAGCTTCTGAACCTTTCCTAGCGCCGTAGCACAAATCAGTGAAGGGATACTGTAGAACAAAGAATCAGTCAAGGGACTCGTCCGCAACCTTTGGCGGCCAACCTTCTGGTGTGTCAGACTACTAGTAGGTAAATTGAAAACGTTCCTTCTATAAGCCTTGTAGCGTCTCCCAGAAGGCGGTACTGTATTTTCATGTATTTTCTATCATCTAGAACATGGTTGTGCCATGCGTCGAAATTCATCGATCCATCCAAATCTGGAGCCTTTACCCCTGAAATGTTTCTTCTAAGACCGAAAAACAGCTCCCATGTGTTCCCTGTTCGCGGGGTGCTCCGAATTTCTTCCACCAAGTCAAAGGCAGGAAGCTCGAGGCCCCAAGGCCGCCTGCCAGGCATGTCTCATCCCCCCCGGGTGCGCCACCGGGATCGCTGAAATGGGCCGGGGATGCGGGGGGGGGGTAGGGACGTCTCGCGGATGAAGTAAGGATAGGCGTGGCGACATGTTCCGCTAGGTTCTTCGGACATCATAAGAACAAGATGTTCTTTCCCTCTTCCTCCCCAGGGGTCCTGCACCGGGCCAGGTGTTCCTAGAATGCATGGTTTTGACCAGTACCTTTTTTGTGGAGCCACCAGGTGCAGCATCTCCACCTGTCACAGATCTGTTGCTCAAGCTCGAGACTTTGAGACCGAAGCGACCCGTCCGTTCAGTGCGTCCGTTCGTTCGGGGGGTAGACGCCCGGTGTGCCGGACCCATGTCACGCATCATCCGAAGAACCTGACAGGAACGGGTGATTGAGTTGGGTTGACACGTGGTTGCCGAGCTGAAGATGTGGCTTGCTCAAGACATGGCACTTGAACTTCATTGACGTGCCATGCAGCCAAGTCAATGGATGCGGATGATGCCGATGAGGCCGACAAAGTGATGTTGAGGAATGAACCACAGGATGCCCGCTTCACCAATGTCAATCTTATCCCTTTTTTTAATCCTTTTCCTTTTATCATTTTATCCTTTTCATCTTATTTTCTTGCCTTTATCATCTTATCCTTTTTTACTGTGCCTGGAAGGAACAAACATCACCTGAATCGGAGAATCGGGTCGAGCGTAATGGAACTTAAACGCACCGTTTCCATAATCGGTCTTGCTTTGGTTGATATTTCTTGTTTTTTTGCTACGGCACCAGCGAAGACCAAAACTGCTGAAGGAGGTCCAGGAGTGGTTTTCTTCTCCATCCTCAAGTGGACAGATTCAAACGTATGGCAGCAGTTGGCGCCAAGTAGCCTCAAAACGTCTTCGTTGACCAACATAGATTTATAAGTACGTAATATTCAATGTGCCTCTCTGTTTGGATGACCGCTTTGCTAGGGATGTTGGGTGTTGCAGATCAACATTCCCAGGATAAAAAGAAAACATAATGCTAGAAGACAATAACAGTAGCAGTATACAAAATCCCTCTAGATTTGTTTGGACATCACTCCATACCTCTCGTTGACCTCGACAATCATGACTGGAAACTGTTGGAGGACAAACTCCTGCATCGCCTTTAAGATAATTACAGTAGGGTTTTAGCACTGGTATTTACGGTGTTTTGAGGTTTCAGGTGGGAGGGGCAGTCTTTTTCTTTCATCAAGACCAGGAGGTTTGCTGTTTCTGCAGGATGGGCTGGTGCTGTTGCGGGAGCCTCGCAGGCGCCTGGGTCGGTATCTTGGCAAGAAAATCCGTTCGCCTGCCAATTGGCCGTTTGGTGTGGAAGAGTTTGCCCAAGGTCTGGAGCGACACCCCACAACAAAAACCTTCCAACACCTGTTTTTCCATCAAAAGCCAGGTTTGGGGTATTTGGATCTTAAAAGCCTTGAGGGTGCCCCTATAATGCTGGGTCCCTGACCAGATTATTATTCTGCATGATGTATGTATACTGGTTCCCTCCACATTGGGGGCATCGGCAGCAAACAGTTGGTTAATTCCTCACTGGTTTCACACCCAAAAGGGTGCATATCTCAACCTCCCACCATCACAGAGAACAGGATAGACATCTCAGCAATTCTTCCATCCCCGTGTCTCGCAGGACTCAGAATCAACCAGGTTCCTCAGATGATTCTTCCACCCAGATGAATCTGCCACCCAGGGGCACCTCAAAGCCAACACGGCGCAGCTCCCCTGACAGACCCACACCGCGGGAAGCGCCAACGACTCAAGCCCCAACAACTCGGACGGCAGTCGGGTTTGGGGCGCAGCGACGCACGACGGCCGTCGGGTTTGGTGACAAGAATCGATAGTGGCAGTAGAGTCTGAGTATGAGTCCACCTTTTTGACTTTCTTTGGGCCAGAGATCTGCAGTTACTTCATGTTAATTACTTCGTTGTGATCCTGTTCGCTTGGAGCTTCGATGATGCAGGACGTCAACTTGTCCAGACTTCCGGGAAAAGACGGTCGACGAGCCGCGGATGCCACACGAGCCGCGGACGCAGATGCCGCACGAGCCGCCGGCGTCCACGGTTGCTGGCGCGAGGGGCTCGGGCGCCACATCGTTGGTGGAGCTTATCGACCGAGGCATTTACGGTGCCTGGGCGCAAGGCTTGATTTCAAGGGGACATAAGCCACAACAGGCTTGGTTTGGGAAAGAATATAGGAACTTCTGGTCAACATGGGTTGGGCTTCTTGGGGGAACAGACTCACACAGAAGAAAGAGCTTCCAACATTTTAGACCAACAGCAGGTTTTGATTGGAGGCCATCGCTCTTAGGTTGGAGGCGATCGCAAACAGGTTGGGTGGCCATCGCTAGGTAGGTTGGAGGCCATCATATCCAGGTTCATTGCACGACGATTCGGCCAACACTCTAGGCCCCTTCCAGGGTGAGGCTCAGGCTAATACCCTCAATGGAAACCTCTGCCTTCAAAGCCCGATGTTCAGTCCGCAGAGCTCATCGCCACATGATCTCGACCATGTTTGAAGCGGTTATGTTTGCACAATTGTGGTCGACCTTCCGGGCCCAGAACTCGTGGAGAGGGGTGTCGCCCAAATCGGGGATAAGCAACGGTCGGTTTCCTCGTCAAGGTGCCCCCGACCGGAGTGGTCAAACATGAAGCACATTCCAAGTATCTCCAAGTGCTCAAATAGGAACTGCATGGTACAATTATATAACGTTAGGATCTTGATTAACAATTTTGTGTAGACATGGATTGAAAAGCCTCGTCAGGCCTCGGGGGTTTGATGAATCAAGATTCTGTTCTACATTAACAGATATTAAAAGGATCGAACATATCGATTCCCTGCACACAATCGATGCCCCAAGCTGCTTTGGCAACGTGACTGTGAGGATGGGACTCTGAAAACTTCTTCAACCTTCTCAATGTATTGAATGTTACTTCAGTTTGGTGACGTTCTTTGTTCAGGGGTGGTCAAAACACTTCTCCGTGAACACGACACGCGTTGAGCTTCTTGTGGCGGTCTGTGTGATTCTCCAGAGCCCGGAGCTGAACGAATCACACTCCAGACCTCTCTCAGTCAGGCATGGGCCCTGCCGGCCGCCGCGCGCGCCCCTCCGCGCCCCGCTCCGAGTCCCTGCCACCGGAGGGGATCGCTGGAAGTTCCCGCGGTCGGGCGCGGTCGGGCCGATGGGATCAAGGCACGCGTGCGAGCCTGGAGCAGGCGGCAGCAGCTGGGTGCTCTGGTGGCACTGCTGGAACCTGTTTGGGGGGAAGGCTTGAGGGATGAAAGATGACAGGGGGAGTGAGGTAGTTTGATTAGATGTTTGGAGTGTTAAGAGTAGTTCGACAGGACGGCTGACTTAGACCGGTTCCGAAGTCCGTTGCTCCGGTCGCCCTGGCCCGGTTGGCCTCCACCAGCCAAGGTCAAGGCTGCGTGCACGAACGGCGCGGGGGAACTTGGCGCCACAGCAGCTGGAAGACTCGGATCCCTGGGCAGCCTACTTTGGAGAGAAGGATCGGGCAGATCGGAGCGATGTATCCTGAAGGTATTAGTCAGTTTGTGTATGTTTATGTCATTTTGGAGCAGGCATTTTCTTTTCAGCAGGTATGAAGCTGTGAAGCGGAAGAGGGACACCTGTTGATATTGGAAAACACTCCCACGCAGTGATTTTGATCAATTTTACGTAGCAGGGGTCGTGCAGAAGGAAACCTGCATCATGAACTTGAACATTGGAACATAAACCCTTTGCTTGTGAACCCCCAGCCCCCATGATCCTGGTGTGCTGGTGAAGGCATTTATTTGGGGAGGATCTCTCTCGGTTTTGCTTTCCAGACTGCAGATTGGCTCAACGTTGTATTAGGCAACAACAAGGCCCTGGGTAGAGTTCATTTATTTGCCTGCTCCAACGTGATCATTGACACAACATGCAACTCACCCCATCAATCCAACCTGGAGATTCATTTGCCATTTGCATCTATTTGCCATTTGCTCTGTATAAGAAGTTATTCCCCACATCACTGTGTGGGGTTCTTGTTTTTCGCTCTGCACCCGCCGCTCCGCGTCCACGTCCGCGTCCGCCCTCCGCCGTCCACTCATCTTACACAACTCATCACATCTCACTCATCTTGCACCACTCATCACATGCTCGCACTGCACTTGGTGAACCTGGAGTGCAGATTTCGTGGCAGGCGCAGTACACAGAGCCTTCAGGAGGACCCGGTGGACGCGTGGGCGCCGCTGGGCCGCGGCTGCCTTTTGTGTGGCAAGTACAGCACTTGGTGAACCTGGACAGATTTCGTGGGAGGCGCAGTGCACAGAGCCTTCAGGAGGACCGGGTGGACGCGTGGGCCCGCAAGAGTGTCCAAGAGTGTCCTACAAGAGTGCCCCACAAGAGTGTCCTACAAGAGTGTTTTACAAGAGTGTCCTACAAGAGTGTCCCACAAGAGTGTCCCACAAGAGTGAGTGTCATACAAGGTGTCCCACAACAGTGTGTCCTACAAGAGTGTCAAAAGTGTCTCCTGCAAGAGTGTCAAAAATATGTTGGGTGTTTATTTTCGAGTACGTGTTTGCAGTCGGGTTCGTGGGTTCCAATTGGTGTTATTTCAAGGCTTACGCCTGTTTCTGCAAGTTATAAGCTGCGTTGTTTGGCCAACTTGGAGAAGTTACGCCAGCATAGACCCCAGATAGCAAAAGGACTTTTCCGGCAGTGCCAGCAGCGGACTGCAGAGGCACACTGCAGCGGCAAGGTAGCCGCGCCCGAGCGGCTCCAGCGCCCAAGCTCCCAAGCAGCGCCCAAGCAGCGCACAAGCAGCGGCGCCCTGCAGCTTGTAAAGCCCACACACAGCAGCTGCGCGGCGCCGCCGCCCAAGCTCCCGAGCGCCGCGCGCAGCAGCGGCGCGGCGCTGCAGCGGCGCCAGCGCCCGAGCTTGCAGCGGCGCCACTGCCCAAGCACCACGCGCGCAGCCAGCTCACAGCAGCGCCGGCGCCATATCCGCAGCCAGCTCACGGCACCCGCGCCAGCGCCAACACCCCGCAGCGGCGCCCAGCACCGGCGCCCTGTCTCGAAAGCGCGCGCAGCCAGCTCATTGTTATTGACGTAAGAACCCCATAGCTGTCGCTATCTGGGGAGAAAAGCTCAGAGGAGAATGAACTTATTTGCCATGAAAGAAAAAATAAAACTAGACAAAGTGAAGAGTGGCCCTGACCCTTGCGTGAGAGGAGCACGACAGCTTTCGCAAGCAGATGCGGCGGCATTACGCGGTGCGGTGCCTCAGTCCAAGATCTGCAACAAACCCAGTGTGTTTGAAACCTGCACCGAATTCATGTATGCGAATCTCATTCACATCACACTCTTCAAATCCCAGTGTCCCTGTATGTTTTGTCGTATCTGGGTCATATGTCGGTGGTGTCTTGGTCATGTTTTGGTGGTGTCGCAGCAATGTTTAGGTGGTGTCCTGGTCATATTTAATTTAGGTAGTATCTCGATCATGTTCTGTGGTCTATCAGTGATGTTTCGGTGTTCATGTTTCTGTGGTGTCTCGCGGTGATGTTTAGGTGGTGTCTCCGTCATGTTTGTAGGTAATGTGTCGGTCATGTTTAGGTTGTGTCTGAGTCATGTTTATGTGGAGTCTCGGTCATGCTTACGTGGCGTTTCGCTCATGTTTCTGTGGTGGCCCGGTGATGTTTAGGGGATGTCTGGGTCATGTTTTTTGCGGTGTTTCGGCCATGTTTATAGGTAATGTCTCGGTCATGTTTATAGGTAGCGTCTCGATCATGTTTAGGCGGTGTCTTGCTCATATTTTTTGTGATGTCTCGGTCATTTGTCTCCCAGGTCTGTCACTGGTGGTGTCCGCCCTTTTCCGGCTATGCAGCATTTCTATTCATTTGTCTGCCAGGTCCGTCACTGCTGGTGTCCGCCCTTTTCCGCTGGCCATGTAGCATGTCTATTCATTTGTCTCCCAGGTCTGTCACTGCTGGTGTCCACCCTTTTTCCGCTGGCCATGCAGCATTCTATTCATTTGTCTTCCGTTAGGGGTTCTCAATGCTGTCTAAGAGTGTCCTTGCTGCGGGACAGCGTGTCCGCCTTCCGTCCGGCTTGTCTTCCTTTTGTCTCGGTCTTGTCTCTCTTCTTGTTGGTCACTGTGCCCGCCTTGTCTCCCTTCTGTTTCCTTCTTTTTTCCTTCTTGTTTCACTTCTTGTTAGTCATTGTGTCCGTCTTGTCTCCCTTCTCTTTCCTTTAGTCTCCCTTAGACAGTATATGGCTCCCAATGTATATTCTAAGTATACTCTCCAACAGGAAGAAATCCGCATGGCCCCCGCCCGCTCCAGTCAGCAAACCACCGTTGGAAAAGGATCTCGATCCTTTGGCTCAGATGAGTGCTTGATCTCAAGGATCTTTTTGATGTACCCCCAAGGATAAAGCCTGGGCTACAAATCCAAGTGAGAGGGTGCTTGGAGCTGCGCAAACTCAAGAAGCTGGTTCACACATAAGTTGCACATGTGATTCTTGTCTCCGTTATTGTTGGTCATGGTGTCCGTCTTGTCTCCCTTCTGCTTCCTTTTCCCTTCTTGATTCTTGTCTCCTGTTTCGCTTCTTTTTCCCTTCTTGTTGGTCATTGTGTCCGCCTTGTCTTCCTTGTTGTCTCCCATGTCTCAACAAAAAGGACTTGGGAATGCTTCTTTGTTGTCACACCTGTTTGGGGTCTACGGTGGTGTAATTTTCTTAACGATTCTAGCAAAAACAAGCGTGGGATCACTAGGATTCCAGGTAGGTAAGAATGTTCGGTGGCCTGAAGACCCCTCAACGTTCACCACCTTCCTCACCCTCCCGCAGCGTACAGCTGATGCGCACGCACACACACACACACATCGACATCTTGCAGATCGCTTTTTCCACGTCCGGTCGTTTTTCGCCCGGTGGGGCTCCGAGATTGTTCATGGCCCAGCGCCATCAAAAGATTGCCGAGGCGGTGCAGAGCCCTTGAAATGATTTACCAGCCCCTGGTTCATCCCTGACCATTGCTTCTGCGCCACCTCTCAAATCTGTCATCAAGGAGTCGCATGGAGTTGGGTTGTGTGGCTCGTCCCATCCCAGTGAGTCAATGTTCAGCTTCTTTGGATTTTCAAAGAGGGGCCAGGTGATTGGTGGGGCGCGGCCCCCGATGCTTTTCGATCTGGCTCCCAACCTAAATAAAAAATTGCTAAAGCAGCCGCTGGGCCGCGGCCGCCTTTCCTGTGGCAGGCACAGCACTTGGTGAACCTGGAGTACTGAATTCGTGGCAGGCGCAGTGCGCAGAGCCTTCAGGAGGACCGGGTGGACGCGTCAGTGCTGCTCTCCCGCGGCTGCCTTTTGTGGGGCAGGCGCAGTACACAGAGCCTTGAGGAGGACTGGATCGTGGGACATGCTTGGTGCCAATCTGTGGCACTCATCTTACACCACTCATCACACACCACTCATCACACACCACTCA